GGGGGGGGGGGAGGCACCCTCACCAAAAGATGAAGACAAGGTCCTCCTTTTTGCTCTCCTTGGTCTCATAGGTGGCGTCGTAGAGGGCGTAGCGACAGTCGCGGTCTGGCAGCATCTTGACAAAATGCAGGTAAGGGTCATCGATGGTGTCGCCCACCTGCCCCACCAGGATCTCCTTCCCCTCCTCCTGGATGATGGTCTTCTTGTCTTCGCTCAGGCAGAAAAGCACCGCCTTCTTGCGCTTCTTCACCTCCTCTGAAGTGGACGCTTTGCGCACCTTCATGTCGTTGAAAACCTTGATAACTCCATCAGAGACAGCGACACCGGAGGCCTGCATGGGGGGGGGAGAGGAAAAGGGGTCAGCAGCCGTCGCTTGCAAGCCTCCAGTACAAAAGAAAAGGGAACCCATGTTTGTGAAGGAATGGCAGGAGAAACTGGGCGATGCGGCATGAATACAGCTTCCCCTTTCACGGTATCAGAACTCAGAGTCGTCCAATCAAATAAAATGCTCAGACATTCTGGATCATCAAAAGGAAGGACCAAGATGGGTTCTTTAAACCAACAAGTTGAGGCAACAAGCTTAGGTTTAAGTAGCTATAAAAAAGGGGGATTTGATACACCAGACATGCAAGGTCCTATGATGGTCAGTTGTCATAGTAGGACTGGGCACCTTGAAGTTCACTGGAAGACATCTGGATCATCAAAAGGAAGGACCAAGATGAGTTCTTTAAATCAACAAGTTGAGGCAACAAGCGTAGGCTTAAGTAGCTATAAAAAAAGGAGGATTTGATACATCAGACATGCAAGGTCCTATGATGCTCAGTTGTCACAGTAGGACCGGGCACCTTGAAATTCACTGGAAGACCCTGGGCCTGTGTCTCAGCCACATCTATTTCACAGGGTGGCTAGGAGAGTAAAAGGACTAGGTGTGCACTGGGCAACCTTAAGCTCACTCAAAAAGAGATGTGACACAAGCACAACTCAACGAATGAATAAAATTATTTAGGACAAAGCATTCAGCCATAATTGCAAATGCCATGTTTCAAAGACAATAAACCCAACCATTCCCACTGCTGGGAAGAAAGAGCCACTGTCTTCAGGCCTCTCTCAGAGGAATCTGGCTGGTCACCGCAGGAAGCTGGGATGTTCCCCTGAAGAGACTTTTAGTTGGACAAAGCAGGGAGCTCTTATTCTTCCGAGCTAACCAGTAAGAGCTGAGGTATAAAAATCTACAGATCTACTAGCACCCCTTCTCATTCTGGAATGAATAAGCCCTTACCATGGTGTGTGTGTGTGTTTCACACCAAACTGCTCCACGTGCGTGACAAAGATTCATGCATCCCCACAGATTCCCCCCCTGGGGCAAAACCAGCTGATAATTCTTAATTTAGGCACAGGGTCTTTCCAAAAGCTTGATGCAACACAGGCGATACTATCACAGTTGTGAAGAGAGCCACACATTTTTACTGCCACTTCAGAAAGCAAATAAGCCAACAAGAACGGGGATAACAGCACCTAAGACGCCTCTGCCCAACCTGTCTTGCTGACGCCTCCATCTCACCACCCAAAATAGTTACTGTAAAAACCTTGTGGGTGAGTGAGCCCCTGAATCAGAGGCCCCACCCTCACCAGAAGTCAGGAAGACTTCCTTTTTTCGATGGATGGAAGGCAAATCTAGGAGCAGCACTTGGGTGATTTCGAATTATTTATTTTAATATACCTCTATTCGTGAAATGCACTGTTTTGGGTGGTTTTACAGCCAATGGAGTGTGACTGTCTACGTCTCCTGGATGTCCGGCTTGCTATAGGAACGGGCAGGGAACAGCAACCCCAGGAATCGAATGCCGGCCGGCTTTTTTGGGGGGCTGGAGGAAAAAGAACCCAGCGGGAGGAACACACAAGCAGGTGCCCCCAAGGAAGGAGGGGCTTGGCGGCTTTCCTGCCGCCAACTCCAGAAAAGGAAGTCTCCACTGTGCTTGCTGCCGAGGGTGGGGAGGAGGCAGACAGAGGCCAAAGAGACCTCCGGTCGGCCCCAGAAGAGCCGAGGAGGGACCAGATTCTCTTAGGAAGGGGGGGGGGACAAAGGGCTGGCTGTGTATGTGTGTCATCCCTGGGAGAAAAAAGCAGCCGGTGCCAACTCACCCTCCTCAACTCAAGGGGAAAAGATGGAGGAGGAAGGACAGGAAGGGGGTTGGCCAAAAAAATAAAATAAAATAAAACCGGGGCGGCCGGGTGGGGGGGA